CCACCCATATCGCGTTGGTGTCCAGTCCTAGCCCCTGGCTGCTCTTCGCCTTCCTTAGGCGTGCGTCGACAAGTACGAGTCGGCCTTCTAGGAACCGTCTCGGAACCGTCTCGGAACCTTCCTTAGGCGTGCATCGACAAGTACGACGGGGTGGACATGGGGCTCGGCACGACGCTCGAGTTCAAGGCGCTGTGAGGCGCGGCGCTGCGGCGTGAGCCTGCGGGCGCGGTCGGCTATCTGCGGCGTGGGAGGGAGCTGCGCGACGGAGGGCTGAGGAGGTGTCGTGAGTCGCTTTGGACATCGTCGCCTTATCGCTCTCTCGCCGCCCCCTCCTCCCACGTTCTCCAGAGTCCTGTGTTACGATATGCGACCGGCCGCGGGGCGGGGCGTGCGCGCGCGGGGGGGGGGGTCTTCCATAACATCGAGAAGGGCAAGGTCACCGTGTATCTAGACGAGCTGAAATGGAAGTCGTCACACGCAGCGCGGACGTGGCGGCGGAGAGCGAGACCTCGTCGTTTCCACGCCTCTCTCTCGCTCACAGCCGCCGAGAGCGGCAGAGTTGACATTGACTGGCATCAAGCTCGTGGCATATCGTGAGCTCCTCTTCGTCGAGCTCGAATTCCAGCTCGTTGTCGAAGGCGGCGGCAGACGCGAGAGCGCGGCGACGGCGAGGAAACGCATGGGACGCTCGACTGAGAGAGATTTGTGTTGGAATGGCTGAGGCGGTGTGTTGGAAGGGGAGCAGGTAGTACGCAGTAGTCATCGGGGGCGACGCCGTTGGCGATGAGGGCGCGTCGCTGGCGAGCGAGGGCTACAATTGTCACTTCGGCGGCGCATCCAGCCTACCTCGGAAAGAGAGAGTGAGTTACTAACCGCCCTAGCGGAGCTCCTCCGCGCTCCGTACTCCAGAATGGGGCCGAGAAGCAAAAAGAGAGACACGCGAAGTTCGGTCGAATGGCTTTCGGTCTTTCATTCGATGGGGTGGCCGACAAAGCTGGTGGTGGTCGTCCCCAGCCTCGATGGCAATCTGACGGGCAAACTTGCCCGGGTTCGCAATAGCAGCAACCTCACTTACATCGTTTACCAGCGACAAGACCCGGGTGCAGCGCGCTACTCACCCAACTTTGGTTTCGAGGGCACAACCCGAACATTGAGCAGTGGCTCGGGTGCTTGCGCGAGGACATGGCCTACGCGCCACTCACCGGTGTCCGGCTGCTGCGCCGCGGGCTGGACGAGTGGCGCGACCAGGTCGGAGGGCGCGACGCGATCGTCGAGCAGTGCTGGCGGAACATGCTCGCGGCCTTTGACCTCTCTGGTCTGCTGCCGCCGCGGGCGAAACCGACGGTCGGCTACTACCAGGGTGAGGGAGCCCTCTTCGCCGCGTCACGAGCTCAACTGCGTCTCCACCCGTGAAGTGCGTACGCACGGGCACACGCGCTGCTCGCGGGCGGCGACGGGCGATGCCACCACGGCGAGCTGCAGTGGGAGACGCTGTTCTCGCCGCGGCTCCCCACCGCAGTCGCACTCGATGCGCCTGCCAACTGCAAGCACACCTCGGCGGGCGCGTGGGAGCACCTTGAGCACGTCATCGTCGTTTCTACGGTTCTGCGCCCTTTCGAAGTGGCATCTGCTCTTACGCGTGAGCAGGCGGACATCGCTTCCAGGGAGGGGGGCGCCCTTCTACTCACACCACATGCTAGGGGGGGGGTGGGGCGTGAGTAGAAGGGCGCCCCCCTCCCTGGAAGCGATGTCCGCCTGCTCCGTCCAAAAATTCACACTCGCGCGAGACACTTATGAGTTATGTTTTCCTTTTCGTAAAACGTAGTGTCATGGCGCCCCCCGCTAGCGGTAGCGCCTCTACCGGTCTACGTCGCACCGGCACAAGTCTCGAGTGCAACTGGGAGGTAGCGAAGACCATAAAATTGAAAAAAGCAGAGTTTTACCGCACCATACAGCCACACGCATGGGGTCCCGGTGGCGCGCCGTCTCGCCTCTCCTCTTTCCCCTGCTGAGCGTCTCTGCAGCGTCCTAAGCTCATTCAAGACAAGCTGGTGAGCAACACCACGGACTCAAAAGCCCTCGACCGCGACCTGCAGGAGAGCCTCTACATCTCTTGTGCTCTCGTGTGCCGCAAGTGAGCTGCAATGAGCTGATTTTGAGCTTCTGTTTCACGCCCGGTGTCGGCTATACATCGTGTGTTCGGTGTTGAAAGAAGACCACGACTTGTGTTTTCTGTGGGAATCCTCGAGTGGGAATTGGCACATATATGTCATATCTTTAATTAAGAGAGCCTCTCCTGAGTCCTGTCTCCTCGTCGCTGCTGCACGTCGCTGGCTCGCTGCTCCGTTCTATGCCCAGCTTTTAGGTGTCGTCCACGGACGCGCGATCTGCGCCAGCTCGCCGAGAGCGCGGTCGTGCGAGGTACTGCCCAGAACTCGACCGTACGCCAGCCACGCCGCAGAGGGCCACCGCAGCCACCCCACGAGCATCGCACACCCCGCCGTGGGCTTGTCTTGCGCATGCAGAAGCTCTCGCACGATAGCACTGGTGCTGGTGGCAGCGACGGTGAAAGCGGTGGTGGCGCTGGCGGCGGGAGCGGAACGGGCGGCCACCGCTGCGTCGACTTGCCGCTGCAGTCAGAGCAGCCGCCGCAGCCATTCCACGGGCAAAGCTCTTCCCACGGATCTGTCTTGCGCATGCAGAAGCTCCTGCACGATGGCGCTGGTGGCAGTGACGGTAGCGGTGATGGTGGTAGCCGCTCGGGTGGCGAAGCATGATCAGTCCGCCACGCCGTGCCCGTCTGGATGGTGGACGTCCGATGGTGGACGTCCGAGCTCACTGATCTTCTCATAAAGCGTCCGTCCCCGCCCTCGTGTGAGGATGCGCCAGCGGTGCGTCTCTCCTGGGTTGCTTGATCGAGAGTGTGAAGCTGCGGCACGGAGGTCTGTATAGGACATATGACGACGACACGCTCGAGCGACACGCAGACACACACAAGCTCACAAGACACACAGCCAGCTGGGCTGCCACACACCCTGAGTGGGCGTACACATCACTCAGGGCCACGTCCCCCCTGTCGCCCCCCCCAGCACTCACGGTGCCAAGGGCTCAAACAACAGCACACAAACACAGACAGGCGCGCAGGGGGGGTAACGTGTGAGGCTAGAGCAGGCTGCTCCGCCTCGAGCAATCTCGCCGGCCGCAAGGCACGGCCAAGGTGGGGTCGTGTGAGGTGTCCATGGACGCCCTCCTCACAGGCTAGCGGCCAGCCGCTAGCCCTATCTCGCACTCATGGTTTGACGCTAGTTCATTGGATGTTAGTTAGGATGAGTGTTCGTGTTTTCGCGAGCAGATGCGCGGGGTCTGAGGGCTGAGCTCTGAGGTATCTTGGAGGTCTCGTGAGGTGAGCCGACGGCGCGCTGCCGGCCTGCCGCTGGGCCTTGCGCTTGGCGCAATGCGCGGCGGCGCGCTTCGGGCGCTCGGGCGCGGCGCCGGCGCGCACATTCGACATTGCCGGGGCGGCGCGGGCGGCGCGGCCCGCCCCCGCGCGGGCGCGGCGGAGGGGCGCGGTCGCTCGAGGTCGCACGCCCGGCATCACGGCGTGTGCGGCTGAAGCGGGGTAGCAGGAACGCGCGTATACGCGTGGTGGGATGGGGGGGTCTCTCGAGTGTCGAAACAAACGCCGGCTGGTGCACGTACGACCACGCGATCGAGGACCGGAACCGCACTCCAAGTGCAATTACCTCCGAGTAGACACCCGACGCCACAGTCTGTCCGTCCACTCTCCCTCTCGCCGCCTCGCCTCAGCTCAGCGTGAGCCCCTTCGGGAGCTGCATCGGCACGCGGCGGACTGCGGGCGGCGCGGCGGCGGCGGCGGCGGGCGGCGGCGCCGCTCGTTGCTGCTCTATGAGCGCGTCAATGTCGAGCTCATCTGTCGCCTCTGTCGCAGATGATCGAGGAGCAGTGGCCGCGACTTCACGCGAGGCCGCGGGCGGCGTCCTCCTCCCGACGCCACCCGCCTTTTGCACCGGCGCCGCCGCTGCGACCGGCCGCCAGACAGGCGGCGTCGGCAGATTGGTCGGTGGCGGTGGCAGCCTCTCCGGTGGCTGGTGCTCGGCCCCGGCCTCGGCCGGCGTGGGCGGCGGCGAGCCGGACGGAGCGGCCTCGCTGCTGCCGCCGCCGCCGTTCGACCCCACGGGTGCCATGGGCGCGGCCTCCGGCGGAGCGGCCACCATCGGCGCGCCCGTCCTCCGCGCCTCTCGCTCAGCCTGCAACTCGCGCTCGAGCATCCGTATGCGGCGCTCCTGCGCAGCGAGGGCGGTGCCGTCAGTCGCTTGGCCGCCTCTGTCCCGGGCAGCGCGGCAGCCGCGCCTGCTGCTCCATGCGCGTGTTTGCCCGCTGCAGCTCGGCGCGCAGCTGCTCCGCCTGCTGCTCGAGCGTCCGCTTGAGCACCTCCTCCACCTCGAGCGAGCGGAGCTCCTTGGTGAGGAAGTCGAGCGCCGCGCGCCGCTGAGCCGCGTGCGAGCCCGCCGGCGGTCGCATTTGCAGCGGGGATGGTCGCATTTGTTCCGGACGGTTCAGTGCTGGCGAGCCAGCGCCCGGCGGCATATATATGCACACGCACTGCAGGCGCGAAAAAAATCTTCCTTCGGGGACACACGATTCCAGAAATGGTTGTGTCCCCGCTCCTCGCTCGCCCGGGCGGAGGGTATGGCCGCGGAGGAGGCGAGTACGTGCCGCCAGGCCTTCCGCAGACAGCCTCTTGGGCAGACTGAGGGTCGGCTTTGCGTGGCGTGGCCCGTACGCTGCGCTGCGCAAAGCTGCGTATGCGGAGGGAGCATCCTGTGCTTCCACCGGGAAGTGCGCACCTCCTGCAGCTGGTGGAAGGCCGTGCCGCCGCTCGCCTGCTCCGTGGACAGGGCGGGGAGGCGGCGTCGCAGGACTGGGTGTGAGCAGGTGCCGCTTCTTCATATTTGGGACGGGTGACAAGGCGGGATGGTGCTGGCACGAGTTCACCGACAGGGCGAGCTGTCCTGAGGGGTTCGAAGAGGACCAGTACGATTTCTACGAGCTCAAGGCAGGCGCGCGCGTGGAGCTCCCGACTCGCGCCTGCGGGGGCGCGGTGGGCCCCTTTCTATTTGGCGCCGCCACGGCGTGTGCGTGCGCGTGTGTCCTCTTGCACCTCGCCAGGAGACGCCCCACGTTGCGGTGCGGCACCTGCAACAGGCTTGTGGGCTCACCGGCGGCGATCCTGCAGATCCTCGCCGGCCGCCCGGTGGCGGTGCTGCTCACGGGAATGAGCTCGCGCGGCCGTCGGAGCGGCACGCTCCACACTGGTCTGAAGTTATTTCGATACGTGCGACGGGATACACAGCGGAGTCAAAAATAAAAAACAGCCGGCTACCGCGGATGCGTCCGTGAGCCGCCCCCCGTAAGAGGCGTAAGCAACGAACCGCCGCTGCTCTCACTCGAC